GAAGTAAAGAGCGTTATGCAAGAAGCTCCCCACCGCTGTCGTGGTGAAGCCACGGTGCAAATATTTGTCTCGTAAAAGAAACTTTCCACGGGCCTGAGACCGAGACCGTCCGTCCCTCTCCCCCTCTTATCATCCCTCCTTCCCCCAAAATACCTGCCAGGGGGTCGAAACCCCCGCGGCTGGTCCGCGCAGCGCTGTGCGTGGCAGAGGATGCAAGGGCCATGGGTGCCCCTCAGCCCCTCCTAAACAGCAGGCAAGCCCCGAGCCTTCTTGGAGCCCAACAGGACTCGGAGAGAGCTTGTGACCGGGGGCAACCGCTGTGCATGCTTGTCCCGGGCAGAGGGTAGAGGGGCAGCGGGTAAAACAGTTCCCCTTTTCTGTCCTGGAGAAGGGGATTTCTTTTGCTTTGGTAAATTATTTCCTACTTGGTTTTAATCCCCCCTTTTCCTTAATTCCAAGAGGCCTAAGGCACTGTCCCTCTTTTAAATCGGGCTAACGAAAAGAGAAGAGGTGCTGGAGCAGAGGGCACCGCTGTAGGCTGAACCGGTTCCCCGGGATCCCCTGCCTGCCTGGGGTGCCCCGCAGGGTGCCCATCCAGAGCGGGCACCGGCCGAGTCCCGGGACCATCCTGCTCTGGCTACCTCCTTTGTCGTGCTTTGCCTTCGGTGAAGTGGCTGGGGGGGGGTGTCATCTGAGGATGATCCCGAATTAAATCCGTTTTCCCTCACCAAGTACACACGTATTATATACATATATATTTATGTATACATACGCAACAAATGTGCGCATGCACATATATTAACCTATATACTTAGGGACATCCCAAAACGCAAATCATTAACTGATAATCGTAAATTAATTAAACGTAGTAGAGCGTCCTGAGCTGTATCTGGGCTAAAGTAAGGCCGGACCCAAACCGAAGCGCTCGTTTTCACTTCCGAAATGAAAACTGTCCCTGACTATGATTTGTTCCCCCTGGCTCCGGGCTGATACTGGCTGCATAAAACTTTGGGAAGGGTCTGATCCCCTGGAGCGGCGTGTTCGCTGATTGGGTTTAATGGCGTTTTGTTCACATTTCTCCTGTAAGGGGAATCCCTATGAAAAGACGAGGGTGCTAACCCAGCAAATACCTAGGGAAAATCAGGCGCGTTCAAAAGCTGTTTCTTTTCCGAGGCTACAGCATGTCCGTGATAGGTATAAAATATTAACTAGCATATCGGTGGGACTGAAATCACACGCCGGAATCAGTTGAAATTAGACTGAAACCTGGCATGAATTTAAACTGTCACAAGCATCTCAGCTCTTTCCAACTCCTCCCTTCCATCCCCACCCCCAGCCCTCTCAGTAGATTAGATTAGCTAAACATACAAGCCAGAATTTCGATTCACAGGGAAAAGGGAGAGTAGTAAAGGGTTTTTTTCGTTCGTTCGCATTCCATTTTTTCTTTCTGAAGCTGCCCTGCTTTCATTTTTTAAAACCGTCTCCGATGCAAATGATTCCTCTAAACTGAACCCTCTCGTTTTGCATTCTCTCTACCAGAGAAGGAAAATAAGCAGGGCTGGGTGGTACTGGCTTGTGCAGAAATACGGATACCTGAATATGTGATTACACCCCGTTCTTCTCTTTGGGGAAGGGGTAGAAAAGAGGAGGATATTAAATAATGGTTTGGGCTGTAAATTAAATCGTCCAATGTTATATTAAACAAGATCAAACAGTAGGAAACAGCTGAAAGGCTGGTTGTTGTTCCTCAACCTATTAACCGCTTTTTATTACCCCAAGCAGGCCAGTAGCTCCCCAGGCAGGTCCACCTGTCTAACTTGCCTAGAGACACTTTCTCAACTTTCTAATCCCCCCGCCCTTTTTATTTTCTCCTTCCCCTGCGAGCCTGTGCGGGATTTTTAGCTGGCTTACTTTTAAAAAAAATTTTTTGTATTTAATTTTCTTTTCGCTAAGAGAAGGAATAGTGTTTTGTTCCTCGGCCGGGGCGGGTGCAGTGGTGCCCTGGCCCAGATGAAAGGACAGGCAGGAGACCGAGGGACTAGGTGGCCGGCCCGGCCGGTGCCGCTGTCTGCAGGGATGCTCTGTCTCGCCGAGCCAGGGCAGCTGCCCCACAGTCAGGCTCCCCTCCTTCTCTTTCTCACCCGCCGGAGCCTCTGAGTAGGACAGGCTAACCGACACAAGACAAAATGTCCAGGGAGAGCCCTCTCCACATCCCGATTTCTCCCAGAAGAAGCAGCAGCAT